TCCCTCTTCACTGATTCTGCAGGAGGCTTAGGAACCAGGAGGCTGAAATATGTCCTGTCCAGCCTTTACAGCTGGTTTACATAAATTCACATTTTCAAGGCTGTCTTCATGAGAAAAAGAAAACTGTGCTTCAAAGAAAATTGCACTGTGTAATCTTGAAGGAGAGAGGAAGAACTTGGACAACATAGATGCTCACTGAGTAAAAATTCAGGTAAAAAAGTTCTCTAGCAGTGTAATGATTGACTGAAAAGCCAGAGGAAAGGTATGTTTGTAACTTTATTCTAAACCCTGTTGGCCAGATGTCAATATTGTTGCTCATGAATATTTTCAGCTTTCTAGAAAGTCATCCTTACCCAGCGTAGATGTAGGGTTTGGTGTTTGCTGGGGGCCTTTTGTTGTTTTTTGCTGATTTGGTGATCTAAAGGAGCCAGCAATCTTTGGAAAGTCTCTTTTTAACCCCTGACGGTTGAGTTGTACATTACCTGGAATTTTTTTCAAAACGCAGCCAGTTTGAGAGTGAAAAAATTGGGATGAAAAGGATGAAGGCAGGGGATCAGAAGTTAAGATGCAAGGGAAAGTGAGAGATCAAACACAACATCTACTGCTAGGAGAGATGGAAGCTGTGTGATGGATGAATGCACACAACAATGGGCTGAGGAGAGGGGGTTTTCAACCTGGCAGGGCGTTTGCCTCTTTTTAACTTGTGCCTAGTAACTTATTTTTGCAGGCTACTGGCGGTGCTGCTTTCTGAATAGGTTATGTATTTGCCCAAAAGGAATGTTTCTTTGAAGCCCTTCTGTTAATTGCAAGGAACTCTGAGAGAAAAATGTGCTTGCATGGTCAGGGTGGAAGAAATGTGTAACTTAAAAGTTGTTTTGCTTGTTTTATTACTTATTTTATTCTTCCTGCCTACATGTGCAGCTGCCTTTAACCTCCTTCACTCACCGACTGTTTGGGGAGGCCAGGAGCGAGCTACATGGAATGTCTCAGTTTCAACACTTTTTCTCCCTTTCTTTCTTTTTTTTTCCCTGCTCTTCTAAAGTGTACATTCATGATGAATAATTGTGTTCCAGGAGTACACTAGGAAACCATGGTGTTAGGTATTATATAAACTTCATGACAAAAGATTCCCCTGTGTCCTGTTTACCCCTGGAAAAAGAAGTGAGGTACAGGAAGACTGTGACTTGCTCAAGAAAAAAAATTAGTCCTTTTGCAAGAGTTCAAAACTGTACTTATTTTTCCTGAGTGTTGTTAAAATTCTGATGTTTGAACTGCATTCTTCCCCTCTTCAGTTATTTATAATAAAGCTACACAGATATAGACAGCTGTTAATGGTGGAGAGTGCTGGTAACAAATTAACAAATAATGTTGTGTGGCATCTCTCTCTCTCTCTCTCTTTTTTTTTTTTTTTAATTTTATTTCCATTAATCTGCAAGATTAATCCAAATTCTTACTGTCTGGTGCTAAAATGTTGCAGCACAACAATGTCAAGGTTTAAAGCAAGGCAAAAAAATACAATGTATTTACTCCTACACACTTCTGTTTTCCAGGGTGTGTTTTTCTGGTGAGCAGTGCAATCCTACTTAATACGAAACTACATGGAAAGCAAATAAGAGAAGCAAGCCTGTGATTCATTTGAATTTCAGCAGTAAATCAGGAAGTTTTCTGAATTAAAGTGCTGAGCTGGGCTCTGTATTTCTGCATTTCTGTCCCTAGTACAAAGTGCATTATTTGTTGCATTCGAAAGAGTTCTCCATTTTCCATTGCAGCTAGGAGAAGGAAAGGGACCACATTAGCAATCCATAGCAAACCAGTTTTAAAGAAATTCAGCGTTTTCCAAAACGTGAGGATGCAGAGAATTCTGCCAGCCTGAACTGTCACTTGAAGAGCCTGGGATAACTCAAGGATGCATATGGAGCATGCCCAGCCTCAGGAAATCACAGAATTCCTGGCTGGCTCTGCCTGTGCTCCAGCACTTTAGAATTTTATCCTTTACAGAATCAGTTCCTTAAAGGTGACAGTCCATGTGTGTACATGCTGTTCTCCCTGGTGTTTTGGTAGAGGCAAATCAAATAAAGGCACGAAGAAATGTGTGAATATCACTGACACTGGATTTTCCTGCATCACCTGGGATTGTTTGCTGTGGAAGGCAGATGTTGCCAGGAGTGTTCTAGTCCTGACAATGCAGGGATGGAGACAAGAGGTGATACACAGTGAGTCACTTGGGCTGGTGAGCAAAGGTGTCACCAATAAGTCCTGGAGAAAATCACAGTGGTACATTTGATGGAGATGTTTATTTGACTATAGGACAATTAACTGAACTCCTGAACAACTGGTTTAAATTGTATTTAGCTTGTTTGATTATTTTGGGTTGTTTTGGTTTTTTTTTTCCCACACCTGAATTATTTGTTGTGGGCCTGTAAGTTTATGCGGTGTTTGTTTGGATTGTGTGGAATTTTGTTTGGTTTTTTCTCTTATGTATAAATAAAAAATATTCATAAAAATAACATGAAAAAACCTATAGCAGAATGCTCCATTTCAGTTTTTTCTATTCCATAAATATTTTAAATTGCCAGTTCATTGAAGGGATAATAGCCACCACAGCTGAGTATCAAACAGCTTTGAATCCTGTCTGATTTTCTAGGGTGAAATATGCTTGCTAAGCAGAAAGACAATATTGGCATGGAATTTTCCAAACAGTGAGAAATAGCACAATTATCATAGAATCAATGCTGCTTAAGGAGTCAGTGTCATAGTTGTGTGTGAATCTCTCAGGATGTAATAAACCTCTCTGGCTGAATGAAAAGATGTCATTGGTTATATGATCCAAATGGCCCCTTACTCAATTTGTAAATCTGCTATTTTTAGTTTAATAGTTTAATATTAATCTGCATTAGGAGATACAGAAACAAGCTGGCCTGCGTAGCTGAGAGCCTAGAAATACGTAAGAAAATGTCATTTAGGGGTTAGAGAGCACAAGCCCTGCAGAGCAGTCAGTTGATCCTCCCCTCAAAAGGAAGTAATTCAGGAAGCCAAGGGTGGTTCACGGGGTGAGGTTGTCTCCTGTGGCAGCCTTGGAGCACCGGATATTGAGGAAACTTTATCTTGGACATGGTCTTGGCCAGAAATTAAGATGAGATCTTGCACTGGAGGTATTAAAATAAACTCACAAGCAACAGAGGTCAACAGGATCAAACGGAATATTCTGAGTCTGAAAGAGATTAAGGTAATATGAAATGCTCCAGTAGTGAAAATGACTGTTGCTTTACCAAAATAAAAAAGAAAAATCCTGCTACAGAGCCTTGCAAAATGTCCAGGGAGGGCTTTTCTTTATTTAAAACAGTTAAAAAACTCCCCACATGGATCATATGGTAGAATTCAAACCACACAAATTTTTGCAAAAACATGACAGACTACTTTGGGTGGTTGAAAGAGTTTTTGAAGAAAACCTGGTTAATATTATTTAAATTTTCCCAAACGCTGTAAGTAAAATTAAGGATTCATTAAATGAGAGACCAAGTATTGTCTTTGTTCAAAAACTGGCAATAATGTTAGCATTAAATGATCAATTAGCAGTTTGGTTAACACCTACTTTAGGTGCAGAAGTTATTTCTGTGTCCTGGGACCTCCAGTGTTGGTGTATTCACGTGATGTGTATCAGGTGCAGGTAAAATTAAACACTGGGTCCAAACATGTTTGCAATGCCCAGACCATGGTAGATAAATGACCACAGCAGGCAGACTAACACTGATTAATGTGAGGTACTGTGCATTCAAGAAGAAAATCTGAATTCCTTATACATTTTTACATCACATTAGATACATCTGCTCAGGGGAAAAATAAACTTAGCAGGTCATTTTCAAAAATTTTTGTTCCCTTCGTTGGTAACTCATAAACTATGTTAAACACATGAGTAAAAAGAATAATAGCAAAGAGATTATTAAAATCCCCTTGTGTACATCAATTATGTAGTTTTCAAATGAATACTAAATGTTATGTAGAGCCAGTGCAATGGGAATGATAAAAAACCTTTAAAAAATCTCCCATTATGTCAAATAGGAAGGGAAATTGTTATTTTTTTATGCCAGAGAGAACATGAATGAAGACATGTGTATGCTCTATTATATACATGAGGCAATGAATTGTAAATAAAAAGTTTTAAAAGTAGAGCAAATAGAAAGTTTCTACCTGACTGCTTCTTAAAGACACAAAGGCATATTAAATGAAATCAAAGTCCAAAATTCAGTACTGAGAAAAGAGAGCTTTAGTGTGCATCTCATTAAAACACACAGGCTACTAAAGCAATAAGTTTTGGAGATCTTAGAATTTGTATTATTTATAATACTTCCATAAGTGAGTTACGGTTTTTTGTGCCTGTTCTTTTTGAGAAAAATGGTATTGGTGTTGGAGGACTGGCAGGAGAGAGAGTGCAATTGGGAGAGCTTTTTGTAATTTATAGAGCTAGAAAAGTTTCATTTGCTGATTTTTGCTAACTTTTTGGGTGTTGTTCTCTGTGGGGGAGTTCTAAACCTGCTCATGATCATTTCTGTTTTTCTAGATCTGATAACATGATCTATTTTGATCCCAGTTTCTTGTCAGAGAGCTGCATCAGTCATTCATTACTGTGCAGTGTGGGGACTTTCAGTGGTGTAGCTGAGAAGTTAGTGACATCTCATGGTAACTGTGGAAAACTACAGGTGATTGGGGATAAACTTTGGGATTTATATTGTGGGCATTGCAAACGTGACCTAGGTCAAAATTGTTTTTTTGATATCCATGTCCACACCTCTTGCTTTGGTTCTCCAGATTTCATGATTTCTCTGATTGATTGGTCTGATTAGAGACCAATTCAGGTATTTCTAAGGCTGAAATGAAGGTTTTCAGCCTGGAGCAAAACACCAGTCTGAAGTCCAAATATTGTAGTGTGCAGTACCTATAATTTGCCACCTACAGAGCAATTATACGACATTATTGTCTCTCCTCACTTTGTTTTTCTTTAGGCACAAAGTCAGCCACAGAATATGCTAATGGTGGTTATGATATTGTGTCACCTGCTCCATCAGTGTACCTGGGCACATTTCAAATTTTGCACCTCCTGGAAGATCTGAAGATGGCCCTGGAGATGCTGGAGGACCCTCAGGAGAAAGAAGCTCTGAGAAACCAAATCCCAGGAGCCACAGCACTGTGTCTGAGGGAGTGGTTTGAGGAGAACCTGGTGAGTTGCTATTTGAGCTGTTCCATTTTGTCTGCAAACAGGGTTGGGTCAAGTATTTCCATGTTTAAATCATTTTCATGGTAACTGAAATCTGCATACTCAGAGGACTGCAGGGGGTGGTGAGCAATAATAGCTGAGGATATCACTGCTTTATGTACTGATTTCTAAAGCAATGCAGATATAGGAGTAGAAGAAGTTGGTAAAAGACCTTATTTTGTCCTTTGGGGAGAGAAGAGTTAGTAAAAATGAAGTACAAAAAAAGTAGCCTTTTCTGTCGTTTCTTTTGTTTGTTTGTTTGTTTGCTTTATTTCACTTTATGCTGCACATAACAAATTTATAACTATTTACAAGACTTCTAACTTTTAAACTGTCAGTTTAGAATACAGTGACATTTCCTGTTGAAGGGACAGACCCAGACTGGGTGATCCTCATTTTCCTTTCCATGCTGCATTGCCTTTGCAGACAGAATTCCAAAGCATCCTGTACACCAGGCAGGGGGGATAAATGCAGAAAAGCCTTTGATTCTGAAGGGGAGACATTCCTCTTGGGATAGGTGGGGAATAAACATCTGACCACACTGCAAAAGGCTGAGGTTTACCAGGTGAGGAGCAGATCCTGAGACAGACCTCATCAAAAGGGACTCACTGGGTGTAAAGGAAGAAAAACACAAAATTCCCCTTCCTCAAACCTGCCACTGCCAGGGACTGGTGGGTTCCTCATGAGTAAAAGAAGAAATCCTGCATAGTGTTATTTAATTTTTCTCAAGAGCTATGACCAAAATTAAGCATTCATTAAGTGAGAGACCAAGTATCATCTTTCTTCAAAAATTGGTTGACATGGGGAATAATATTAGCATTAAAAGATCCATTAGCAGTTTGGTAAAAAGCTAATTTAGGTGCAGAAGTTATTTCTGTGTCCTAGGACCTACAGTCCTAGGATGCAGGAAATGCAGGAAAGCCTTTAATTCTGAAGGGGAGACATTCCTCTTGGGATAGGTGGGGAATAAACATCTGACCACACTGCAAAAGGCTGAGGTTTACCAGGTGAGGAGCAAGTCCTGAGAGAGACCTCAACAAAGAGACTCACTGGGTGTAAAGGAAGAAAACCACAAAATTCCCCTTCTCCAAACCTGCCACTGCCAGGGACTGGAGGGTTCCTCATGGATAAAACCTACCTGTGGCTTCCCCAGCTCCAGAAATTTTCCTGGATTAATGCTTTTCCTTCTGGCTTTGTCAGTGCATGCAACTTTCATGGAACCATGCCTGCGGCCCCTGCTTTGGTGTTTATGATCTGCTGGGGCTGCCAGTGCTGGCTGTAACCCCAGGTTTTGGCTGTTTTTGTCTGTGCTTGTCAGCTGCTGGCTCCTTGGCATTCTGCACTCTGTGGCTGGAAAATCCTGTTTGGGCCCACGTGAGAGAAAGGAATGAGAATGTGGTCCCAGTTTTGAAAGCTAAAGGTGTAGGCAATGTTTAATTTGCATTTACAGTGTTAGATTTTGGATTCAGGTATCCTTAGGCCAGCTCTTACCGAATGCTTGCCTCAGCAGAAATTTTAATGATTTTTCTAATGTTTATGGTAGCTAAGAGATGAGTTTAGTGTATAAAAACCAGATTTTCAGAGTTGTTCATATTAAAATTGGACCTGTATCAAGAGTAGTATTAATCCGACAAAGCAATTGGGCAGTCTGCATTCAGAACCAAGAAAACAGGGAAGTGTGGTTTGGAGTATTTCTAGTGCAGCATGTTGAGATAACTGGTTTTAAAATGTCCTGCACTGCTCTGCATTGAGGGAGGGTAGTCCATAACTGCTGTGACTGTTATTTGAAAGTGGATAGTAATCTTATGTATTTGAAGACCTTTCTTGAATTTTTTTTTAAATGCAAATAATTCTCAAGCATGTATATAATTTCTGTGGAAGAAATCTGATAAAATTCAGCTCATTAAATGAAATGGAAGGTGTATTTCATAGCTGAAATTTCCTTCATTCCAGCCCAGAGCTATGAAACATGGCACTTAATATGTGTCATATGTCAGGATAGTGAGGTAGTGAGTTCCAAAGAATGAGAACTCTGCATCTCAGTGAATCCATTCACCCTGGGAGCCTCAAAGGCAGTTTGGTGATCATTACTCTAGGAAATGCTGGAGTATCATTAAAAAAAAAAAAATCACTTAGATGTGGCACATTCTCCACCTTCTCTTCTAAGCATTCTGCCTAAAGTGAAGGCTAATAACTGAGCACAAAGATTTGGAGTGTATTTTAATTGCATTCAACTGAAACACAAAAACATATTAAGCATAAAACATTGCTTAATATCAGCAGCAGTATTTGAATTGCAACAAACATTGTATGTGAAATGCATGCAGCAAACAGTGGATGTTGAAATAATTCCTTTGAGAATAATTCCTTTTATTGTTTTGAGCTCTTACAGATTAAATAACAGCTATAAATGGAGAGGGATTTTCTTTTGTGAGTGATTAATTCCACATCTGTTTATTTTTGGGGTCCGTGCACCTTTCTTTGAAGCTGCACAGCTGCTCTAGCATGTGCAGCTTCAGAGACTACAACTATTGCTCTGTTTCTAACATTTTGCTCAAATGGGCACCAAAAATATTCCCAACTTATCCTGATTAGGCACACATTAGAAACTGAAGATACAAAAAGCCATTCCATGTTTTTAAAAGCAGATAAGTATTCTTCTTTCAAGAAAAGTGTGCTGTTCTCCTTCACTTCAGTGTGTGGCTGAAAATTGTATCAAAAAGCATTTCAGCTGCCATGGTTAATCAAGAATGCAAATATGCCTAATGAAAATAATTTGAATGTGTGTTTTGCCACTGCCCTGTGTTGCTTGGCTGGGAAACCACAGAAAGGGAAGTCAGAAGGAGGACTGGAGGCTCATTCCTGCTGGATGGTATCAAACAGCAGCATTTGACTGCCAGCATTTGGGTTTAAGCAAACTATGGGATAAAAATCCCGGTGATTGCCTGGTGTGCTCCTTCTGCATTAGCAATCTTCATAACCTAATGCAGCCCTGAGAGCTCTCTGAGGCCCAGGGTGGGTGTCCCTGCTCTATTTGCCACACAGCAGGATTTGGGATTGCAGCTCAGAGGACAGGAAGGGGCTGGATATTCTTTGTGCTGTTTTTATTGGGTTAACATTCAGAACCCAGAGATCAGTTGCACCTGCATGGGGAAAATAACCTCTGCAGAAAATTACCCCTTGGCCTCATAACTCAAGTAGCTTTGGGAGTTGCCACTTAATGTGCTGAACTGCGCCTCCAAATAAATAAATAAAGGCTGTGGAGTTCAGCCTTTGGCCAGCTTTGAAGCCCATGGATTTATTACTGATCAAGTCAGGAAGTTCTGTGCTGTTTATAGATACTACAGCTGGTCTCACCTGCCTTCAGGTCCATAGCACCAAACTCTGGAATTTATCAGGCATGAAATGTCATCAAGTGATGTTTCAGATTAATTTTTTTTTTTTTTCAACCAATGGTAACTTTTATATTCTTTGTCCCGTCTGCTCTAGGTGTGAATACCAAAGATGTGGAAAATTTAGAGATGTCTAGAACAGGAAAACTTTAGGCATCATGTTTCATACCTGATACTGCCTTCCCTATTAACTCTTTTGAGAGCAGCTGCTGAATTCCTTTTTCTTATGAAGCCAATGGTAATTTGGTGTTTCCTCTAAGATCAAGGCACAGCACCTGTTGAACTAAAGATGTTCTTTTTGAAAAGGCCTTTTTTTTGTTGTTGTTGTTGTTCTTTCTGTGGTCTGGGATCTATGAACAATTCATGTTCCTGAGTTTACAGAATAACTGGACGTAGCAACTGTGCTGTCCCTGCTTTGAGACAGACGAAATAGGTTTGACAAAGCACTGAATTCAAAGATTCTGGGTCACATAGAATGAGCATTTTATAGTTTCTGTAGTTGCACAAATCTTCTGGCATACCTAAAATGGAAGAAAATATGATTAATTATAGACTTTTGACAACTTAAGAATGGTATTGAAGACTTTTACCTTGAAGAGAATGTCTGAAGTGCTTTACATGGCTTTATGATTGTAAATTCTTGGGCCTTAAAAACAACACAAAGACCTAGGGATTATCTGGGAGAGTTTGTACAAAACAAATTCGTGGATAGTATCCATGTTTCATGTTAAATATTTCAGTATTGCCAATGACCACGTGGCCTGTCACAAAGCAGATAGTAATTTCAGCATTAAAAATTAACGGCTGCGGTGACAATTTGGCTTTGTGAGCTACGAGAGAATTTAGTATTTAGTTACAGCTTCATATCTCTAAATGAATTTCCACACTGTTCATTCTGGGTTTTATTCCATCCACCTTCATGCAATCCTTTTTTGAGTAAAGAGGAGCACTTGTGTTCTTACAATGGACCCTAAGCCTCTTTTTCAGGATGGCAAAACATGATCTTCCTCCTAGTGGAACATTTATATTTAAAGCAAACCACTCCATCATGTAGCTTTGTAGAATGAATCTTAAAATGCCAATTCTTGAAAACTCATTAGTATTTTCCTGACTATTCAAAGGTTTTTTGGAAGATTGACTCTGAAAGTCTTTCTAAATATTCTCAATTTGAGGAAATAGAGAGAAGAGCAGAAGAAATAGTAGAGGAACATGTGGTAGAGGCAATTTTTATAAATGTGATTTTCCTTATGATATGTGCTCTGCTTTGTTTCTTTTGAGGATCTGTTCTTTAGTGGTAAAACCAGAGACTTTTTAGCAGAAACAGGATAATTTCTTTACAGTCTTGGTTGCTATTAGCTCATAATTAAGGTTCAAAAGAGATTGTTTCTGCTGTGGGTTAAAATCAAGGCATATTTTTCCCCAGTATCTTAACAAAGATTTGAGTGAAAACAGTAAAGCCCAGTTCAGAATTCTGACTTGATGGAGCTTGTGGAATTTGGAAGTCACTTCCAAGCTTTATTTTAAGCATGTGTTAAAGTGATCTGCTGAAACCTAATCACTGGCCTCTCTATT